TCAGAACTATACATTACTCAATTTGTTAATTTAAAAGTAAATATTAAAAAACACATATAAACATAGATTTTTGTGTGTCATGTGGTGTGTTGAATGCAGCACTGGTTCAAATTAGATGTTTGTGAAGTCAAAATACTAAGTTTGTAGTTTCATACGAATCAGAAACTCAAATTACAGGTATTGACAAGCTACTAACTAATAACGTAAAACACATGGTGTTTGGATAAAGTAACATACCATCCAAATTAATTATCCATTACTACTCAGTGGACTAAGTGGTTAGTTTACTAATAACCTAAAATACATGAGGTGTATGAGCATGTAAAACACAGCAAAAGTTGAAGTAACACTAGTTAAATATACTGAATTTTCTAAAAGTTGAAGTGAACACTAGTTAAATATACTGAATTTTTTAAAAGTTGAAGTGAACACTAGTTAAATATACTGAATTTTCTTCAAGTGTGGAATATTGCATTTACACAGAACAAAAGACATTAAACAAGTTCATTTTTATGAAGATTTGACGATACTGAAATACCTAAAGATAACTGCTAATGAAAGTTTGTGCTAAGATATAAGTTTTTCATGTTGAGGTTCCACAAACAGCTGGTAACAGTACCAAGCCAGAATTCTCTAAGAAACGATGAATATGAAGGTTTCTAACCTCCAGAAGTATACCAGTCCAACCTTGTTGTAAGTATAAAATTGCTGTTTCTCTTGTTCAATTAATGTAGTTTACTAAAGGATGTTAATGTTCATAATAGAGAGAAATATTCTATACGTATTGGTTAATAGTGTTAAGTGAAAAGTAGAGTTCTGAGAAACTAATGGTTTAATAAATGTTGATGTATTTTGTTCAATGTCAGTTTCGGAATCCATTTCTTTATTCTAAATGTAAATTACCTTTAGTTAGCGACTTGTGACTTGTAAGCTTCACTCGCCACTGCAATCCTCAACTAATTAAATTTGGTGCAATCGGCAGTATAGTCGAAACTCCAATGACTTGCCCTGAGGGCACTGTCCATTACACAAGAGAAAACACTTGTAGGATATAAAAATAAAGTTTTACTATTTAACAACTCAAAGTAACACAAGTATGTAATTGATTTCATTCAACAATGAGTCACTTCATGTAAAATCAATAACTTGAGGAAGGTTTCTGACCTGATCTCTTCCAACTGTGATGGTAACTGTCAGGAATCTTGGTCCCATAGAACTATAATTTAGCCAAGTTTGACATTTCTAGATAAATGGTTTTTATGTGAGAGATCATCAAATAGTTGACCCAAAAGGCTCCCAGATGAGCCCATTGATATAAAGTACCATAGTTTATATTATTTCCAATGCTACAGTAAAAAGTAAACTACTTTCTAGTATTCAGAATTTTAACCTTTAACCTCATTTGAACTGTCAACCCCAATATGAATGACCTAAATCAAGATTGGATGCTAAGTTCAAACTGTCCTCCTAGTTAATGTGAAAAATCAGCCTGATGTCTTAATGGAATCAGGAGGTATTAACTCATTCCACTGTGTCAATGTAGTTTCATGGATGATAAATTTAGAAATTACTGGAATGAAAAACAACTTGTGCTTTTAATAATGTAATAACATGGGAGGGATTCATACATACAGAGGATAGGCTGATGTAATGAGGTAAGTTCATATATATGGCAAAATTTGCAACATAACAACAGTCTATGCTGACTCAGTTGAAGACCTTCTCAAGCACTGTTGTTGTTGCTTGTTGTACATTCTTCCTGTTGCCATGGTGAGATCATCAACAACAGGATTTGGTCTTGCTCTTCAACCAAGATGTTTGGATACTGTGGGAATGAAAAGCTTTGTGCCACTCACCATTACCCTTGTATTCACAGATAACAATTTTCAGTATTTTTAACTGGAATAAACTCTCTCTAACGACCAACTTTCATAATTTTTCACATATCTTGGATAGAGCAGTTCTTAAGTCTATTTTGTGATAGATACAGCAATAGAACTGCTGTGTACCTGTTATCATCACTGATGCATCAAGCCAAGCTTGCAAGGTTTTATCTTTAATGTGGACTTCATCTTTTGGAATGTATTCAAAATGAATGCTGGGGAGAACTTTCCTCAAAAAGAGCTCTTTCAATTAGGATCGGATCATATGGCCTTTGAAGTCTGCTTTAGCTGTGAACCACTTGACAGTTCCACCAATCACAGGGCCCTTTCCCATGGCTTGTTACAGAGAAGTGATTCTGTTTTAAAGTCTTCCTGATAATATGCAATATAGATGACATCTTTTTGCTATTTTTGGTTAAAAAAATCCAAGAGATAAAACAGGTATTTCACCTCAGTCTTTGCAAGGAGCATCTTTACAAATAAACAGACAGCAACAATGTCACAGACCAGGCAATCTGAAATGACAATGATATATACGAGTATAATTAAGTTTTATACCAATTATTCTAGTTCAGTACTCATCACATGATGTAGCATCAGCATGCCAAACTATTGGTAGCCATCAGATGTGTGCTATACAACTGACAGAACCATTTCTAGGTTGTTCTTCCCCTTCCAGTCATTCCAGAAGCATTATCATTAACCCTCTCCAGACAGGTCACGGGTCAAATGCCATGTCATCACATTTATTTACTAGCATTCAAAATTTTATTGAACTATTTCATAAATTTATGTCAATAAGTTTGATATCAAACTGTAGACTGTAATTCAAATTTTAGAACTATACACTACTCAATTTGTTAATTCAAAAGTAAATATTAAAGAAGCACAGATAAACATAGATTTTTGTGTCACGTGGTATGTTGAATGCAACACTGGTTCAAAATAGATGTTTGTGATGTCAAAATACTAAGTCTGTAGTTTTGTATGAATTAGAAACTCAAATTACCAATATTGACAAGCTAGAATATAAAATAAGAACCTCATATATTTTCTGTTTGCTGAGATTTCACTCATGTACTGAATGAAAAACAGTGGTCCCACTCACCTCTTTCCATCTTTGAGCAGTCCCTTATATACACTTACTTCAATATATGACATGTGAATAACCAATTGAAAGCTCAGAATGTCCCCTAGTGGCTTTCTCAGCCATTTTCATGTGTTAGGACACCATTTCGTTCTTTCAAACCAGGATTTCAAGGATGTAGGTTGTGTCTTTAGTCTGCTTGAAATTTCATATATTTTTAGACCCAAATACAACCTAGTTACTATGTTTGATAAAGTATAGTGGAATTCTATGGTATTAATGTAGTAATTTATGTATTTTTTACTTATTCATCTGTATATATAAAACCTAAAAAAATATTTTAGTTTCTAT